GTAGTTCAAGGTATGATTTGATTCAAAAACACTCATTTTTTCAATTAAAAAAAATACAAATTTTGTGAAAAGTTAGTGTCATCAGTTTATAAAGAAAATGAAACAAATAAACAAAAGCTGTGTTTTTACCTCAAGTTTTTTTGAATCATATATCTACTCTTATGAGAGAACACTAAAGTTTTCTGGATTCTCAAATCCTGTAGTTTTTATCGATTTTATCTCTTCTATTGAGAGAAGACAATAACTTTCTGGATTCTTAAATCGTGTAATTTACTCCCGGTGGAAGAGTTTAATTCCACTTTCTTCCATCTCTTTTGTTAGACTGGTCATATTTTCTTCCCTCTCTTGGAGAGTGGTCGAATTCCCATGCTATATGCCGGAATTTTCAAAATCAAAATGGAAAGTGACTACCCTGAGACTCTCCGGCCTTGCCGCGAAAACCCTCTTGACGCATTCGAGATATGTCTTGGATCCGCTGTCCATCTTCTACGATGATCTATCTGCTTTATGTTTTATCGCATTTCAATTATGTTGTATTAATGTTGGAGGATGCTTAATTCTCTCATTTTGTACTCTGATATTTTAAATAAATGAAAAGCTTGTTGACAAAAAAAAAACAGAAGCTATGTAATTTTGTTTTGATGAAATGCAGTAAAGATATATCAACTTATACAATAGATCAATGTATCAACGACTACAATTGAATAACCTAAAAATGTGTCCAGAGGCGAGTCTATTAAGAGGAATATGGGTTCACTTGACACCATATATATTTGAATTTCTTTTGTAATTTTAGGAGTTTTTTAACAATGACACTAGTCCAATTTTTTTATTTGAACCCGTAAAATAATTTTTTCTTTATCTCAACCCATTTTCTTTACTTTGATCTAGGGGTGGGACGATTCCAGATATCCTGGAATTTCAGAGTATCCGGATTCGGATCTGGAATCGTCGGATCCGTGAAAAAACTATCCGGATCCAGAATCGTGACCTCCGGATATCCGGGCTCTAGGAATCTTTCCAAAAATCAGGATATCCGCAGATATCCG